TTTTAATATTATTATTATTAATTATGATATATTTATTTCTCTTTCTACTTTACATCTTTTACTCCTAATTATTTAAAAAATATATATAAAATCTATATGCAATATTATATTTTAAATAAATTTATAATTATAAACGATAAAGATTGTAGAAAAAAATAAAAAATTTTTCATTTCCTAAGAAGCACATTTTACGAATATAGCCGTTCTATAACTGCACGGTTTATAATAAATGAGTAAATATCTCTTGTTATTTATTATGTAAAGTAGAATGGTAACTTTCACTTTACATTACGCTCCTAAAAACTAAATTTTTCATGATAAGAAATTCTCCATGTACATACATATATTTTCATAATTATTCAATATTCCATATAGCGCACCTGCTATTCCATTATATTATTCGAAATGCGATGTCAAATAATACTCCGAATTCTCTTAATTATATTATTTCTTCCTTTTAATAAATTATGTAATATATTTCCTCCTTTTTAATAAATTAACAATTCTTGTTTTAAGAATATATTCAAATAGGATTAATAACTTTATTTCAAAATATAAAAAAAAGTTTATTTGTGATTTAAATCTAAAAATTAAATCTAAAAAGGCATGATAATTTATAATAACTATGATATGAAATGATATAATTTATTAATAATAATGTGATATGAATCTTATAATTATTGCCACTTTTATCTTTATTACTCCATTTTTACTCCATTTTTATTATTCACTTCGTGAATTTTACAGTTTGTTTACAGTTTGTTTGTAAACTATCTTTTTTAATAATTTGAATCGCTGAAATATAAATAATTGTTTTCCGTAATTAATTAAAAATAATTTATTCTATTATATCTTTAATAAGATTAACTTATTAAAAAATTTATATTAATTACGCTTTCTTAATATAATAAGTATCTCTTTAATAGTAAATTTTACTTTAATGAAAAAAAAATCTTAATTTTACAGATTAAATGTTATAACATTTATATAAAAGAATTATACAACAAATTAAGAAATAATCAAAAAGTTTCAAAAAAATTGTTAAATAATCATTACGAATGAAGGAAAAGACTCTGTACACTATTTGAGCATATCGATAGCTTTGAAAGAGCCGTCGTCATGGCGAATCAACAAAGAACTGACGCATACTCTTCGCAATGATTGCTGGAATATCGAAAAGTACAAGTTCACACAGACCCTTTTGACAGTGTTACAAACGAATCATACGTGTAGTGTAAAAATTTGCATCGCTTCAACGCCGCTGACGGCCATTAACATGATTATATAACATAAATCGATATAACGCCGATTAAATCATCATAATATTCGGAAGAGAGCGAATAGTAGCTTTATATTTCTTCCTCTTAGGAAATGATCGTAAAGAGAATAGCATAAAAAAAATGGTAATTGCTTCCATCTGCGAGTTAATGCGTCATTCACTTGCTCGTCACGTCTTTTAATTCTTATCTGTTGTAAGGAGCAAACACTACATAAGAGAGGTATTTTAACAAAAGGGGTAAAAAGAGCAGGACAAAAAAGCGAGTAATCTAAGTTATGATAGTCTAAAAATATGTCTGAGAAAAACATATAATATGATATAAAATATTAATTGTTAACATAATACATAATTTATATTTATTACATAATTTATATTTATTAAAACATAGATTAAATGATTTCTTCACATAATGTTTAAAATATACTTTAAACTTAGTTGCATGTTTGTAAAAAAATTATTGATGCTATTGTAATTATTCTATGTCTGTAATTATTCTTTATTACTCTCCTGCACAATTCCTCTCTTATTCTTTTTGATATAAAAATTCAAGCGACTTATAAAAATGGATGGACTAAAAAAATGGATAGAAATCTTTCAACATTAAATTTCTCATTATCACAAAATCAATTTAAAAAAATAATAAAATTTACAAAAAAAAGGCGGAGGGTAAGAATCACGAGACGACGTCGTTCTGTGTGGACATTGTCACTGAGGATTCCTTCTACGAGAATTTGACCCTCGGTGTGGTCAAGATTCTCGAGAGCTCGCCGTGCGTGAGAAACGTGCGAATCGAGAGACGAAACGGTTGCGAATCCGGTGCCATAACCAGCTGGGAGCAACGCCATTGTTGCGCGCTTCCCGAGGACATCCGGAATTTCTACGCCTCCATCGATGGCTTCCTACTGCAATGGAATCTCGATATAGCTGGTAATCTATTCTACTTTTAAATAGAAATGAGAATAAAAGGATAGTCAAGATTTTGTGTAACAAAGCTAGCTTTTGTATAATTATTAATAATTATTATAATATTATTATATACCAAATTAAAAAAATGTACAGATATAAATATAAAACCTAGCCCTTTTATCACTTTCTTTAATCTTAATCTCTATAATAACTGTTTCGAATCTGCATTTCCGATTTACTGTGCCCTTCCATAATTTTTTTTGTATTTTTTCCCCCATGTAATATTCAAATACATATTCCGTAACTTTATATTTTACAAATGTTATTTTATTTTTCATTATATTTCATTATTTTTAATACTATTTATTTTTTCAAAAAGTTATTCTATTGTCAAGATAATATTCTATATAATATTGTTGTAAGTTTTTATTATTGCGTCTATTAGTTTATTTTACTTTTAAGACGTTCTTTGTGCCACATGGATTATTGGTGACATATACTAGGCCTTTTTTCATTCAGGTTGTTTGATAATTTAGCTGTAAAAAGAAACGGAATGAAAATATTTTCTGATATCATTTACTGATAAATGCAATATCAACATCTTAGACTTTTCCTATAATAATAAACTTTTATAATTTTTTCATTATTATGGAATACAATTTATTTAACATATAATTAACATAATTAACATATCACGTAATCACTAATGATCTATGTAGCATGAGTGACAAAAAACATAATTAAAATAAAATCACGTAAAATTGTGCAGCATGAAACGCGTCAATAACATTTATTAATGTCCTAATTGCTTAATACATTCGGCATTATAATTTTATTTATTTAATATTATTTAATTTTTAAATAGAAATGAGAATAAAAGGATAGTCTCATTTTGTGTAATATAAAACCTAATCTTTTATCACTTTCTTTATAATTAACAATTGCATTCAGGATTTAGGATTTATTTATTCTTCCAAAAGTGTTTTATCTTTGTACTTTATCTTTGTATATTAATGGAATCTTGAATGTACGACATTGATAAAAATCACTAATTCCTAATCACCATTATTTGTTGATTTTCCAAAAAGCTTGCGTGTTACAGACTCTTTTGTCGAGACATTCGCTATCAGCGTTGCTAAATCTCTGAAAGAATCCTTCGTTTGACAAGCGAAAAAAAAAAACAAAATTGAAATGATGTTATCCAGCATGGTCAGACTTTGGTTTTCAAAATAAAAGATAACAATCTCAATAAACTGTTGAAAACTGAAAACCATATCGTGTGGTCTAAAAAAAAGGCTTGTGATATTCTAAATGTCCTCTTCGTGTTTTATTCAGATTTTCGCTCGTGATGTAGAAAACGGTTTGTCTCAAACCGATGTCTTTAATTTGCCAGTGCTGATTCAAAGATACATTTCACTTCGATGTAGGCGAGGAATTTCCAATAGGTCGGATGGAGATCGGTACTCTTTCGTCGCTGAAAAGGTACGCTGGCAAAGATCGGCAGACGGGGGGACCGTCGACGCAGGATTTGTCGGGGACCCAAACTGCGGAGCCGCAAGACGCTACGTTCTCTGGAGATTCACGCGACTGCAAGTTGTTCGAGATCGGCCAGTGTTTTCCGGGAGCCGAAAATGGCCGAATCTACTTGGCGTATCGTTCCAAGCAGGAGCAGGACACGCCCGGCATTTGGCTCCATCGGGGTGGCGGCTGGTACCACCTGGCCGACAATTTTACCACGTACTTTCGCATGATGCTGGTCCATTTGGGCCTGCCACTATGGCAATGTTGCGTGGCCGGACTGCCTCTGCCCACCTGGGTCGAGCAGGCGTATTTTCTGGTCGGACCTCATCTACTGCCGTCCACTGTCGAGCCCACCGAGACCATGTCCGCTTCATTATGGAACAACGGGCCTGTCAACGTTCTCGATCCGGCCATCTTCAAGGCCAAGGATGGCAAACAGAGGAACGCTCGCAAAAAGTGAGCTCATTATGATGGTACTTATTATATAATAATGGCACTTGAAGTTTTTAAGGGGAGGGGTCAAAGTTCCACTTAAGGTCAGGCTACTATAATAAATAAAATGAACTTGTAACTTTTTAGAGTAACTTCGCAGATGTCTTCGAAAATCTTACCGCAATATATAGTAGGATGTCTTTTGCTTAATCGCTTACTGAGTGTAGATAGAATATGTGTATTAATATATACGAGTGCATGTCAGATAGTAAAAATTCTATCTTTAAAAATTTTTATGTAATATATCCCGATATGTGCATTATAATAAATACTGAATCTATTTTTAAAAAGACTATAAAAAATTATTGCCGCGATGCTGATTGATTTTCTTGTTGTGCTCATTTTTCGCTACTGCGAAGGTAACTGTCAGCGCAAAGATTATGATTATGCATTTTGACAGTTTGTATTTTTATATAATTATGTATTTTATATAATTTTATGTAATTATGTATTTTATATAATTTTTATATAACGACACAAATTAATGAAATCTCGATTTAATATTTAATTGAAAAAATATATGTGACATATATAAATGTCAAAAAATAATAGTGTGAGCGCATGTTTATTAGTAATCTAAAACTAATTAAGTATTCTAAAGCTAGCAAATTGTTATTGAAGTGTGTGTGTGTGTGTGTGTGTGTGTGTGTGTGTGTGTGTGTGTGTGTGTGTGTGTGTGTGTGTGTGTAAGAAGATCGTTGATTATTTAAAAATTGAGACAAAAATTATTTAAAGTTTTTAAATAATTTATCAATTTATAAATGAAGACTTATGAATTATGACTTATGAAGATTTATGAATGAAGACATGTAAAGAAAAATATCTTTTAATGTACATATTAAATCTATTCTGGATCTTGAAAGCTATAATTATATAAACCTGAATTAAAAAGGTCAATAATTATTTAAAAATCGAAATAAGTCTATTTCCTTTTCTAAATAATTTATCGATTTGCAGCTGACATGTGAAATATTTATAGCGATTGTCCTAGTTAACCGAAATTATTAAAGTTTAAATTATGACAATTTATTATATCTATAAAAATCGATATCAAGCTGTATAAATTAAATTATGATCGATTAAAAATTAGGACATTCCGATAAATTAAGTTTCAAAGACTTAAATAGATAGAAGAAATTATTTTTATATTAAAAATTAAATATTTTTATCTTTTTTTATGTAAAAGATTATATTTTTATAACAAAATTATAATATTTAGTGAAATAATGCTTGAAATATTGAATTATTGGAATTTGCAAAAACTCTTGATTATTTTAATTAATGTTAACTGAATTTCTAAGGAACATGATTTTTTATCAAAGTATAATTATAATTTCTTTTTTGTTATAAAATGTTTTAATTTTTTAATTGTTCTAATTAGCCATGAATGCAAATCTACATATAAGACAAAAATGTGCGACGCGACGACAATGTAAAAAAAACGCGAAAAATTCAACGAGACGAAGAATCTCCCCTTCTTCGCCGCCAACCCTTGGCCCAGTTGGCACTGAAATTACGCAAAAACGCCCAATTGGCAACGTGGTTGGCGAACGCCGTCTGCGACAAAACGCAGTCGTGCCGTCGCCATTCTCACAAACGTC